TATATATATATATATATAAATAATTCATATAAGTTTGTACGATGTGAGCTCAACATTCTCCGCTAGATATGTACATATTTTTCGTTCACACAATGGCAACAAAGTTCCGATAAGTAAAGTGCAAGATATGCATAAACTAAAACTTCGTTCCAGTAGAATACTATTGTGCGTGAATCACATATTAAAAAACTGATTTTTTTTTTTTCAATTCTGGGCCTATAGTTGCTACGTAGCAAGAATATCACATTCATGTATCCGATCGTCGTTTCATTTAATTGGTCGTTAATTAAAATTTCGTCCAAACGAATGAAATTCGTATAATTACACGAATTAATTTCTACGAAACAGACTGATAACTGGATCAGCCTGTACATCCGACACATCTAATTAAAGAGAAAAAGAGTCACTCTGTACAGCTGGTGAAAGAGTCCCTCGGACTGAGTAAGTGGCTCTGAAGAATCTGGAAAAAGGACACGGTTTCGTTTTAATGAACGAGGATGTCGTCCTCGTGTCCGAATGAATGTGTACTTACACGACGAAGCATGCTTTAATTATTATAGTGGGACTCGAAGTCCCAATATTCATTTTCAGATGAAAGAAAGAGTGAAAAGTTTTCATTCTCTTGTTATTTTGACTGAAACCAATAAAGCTTGTAAAATTGTGATGGACAACTTTTCTTTTTCATCTGTGATTGATGTCGAATTGATTAGAAAGAAAACTCCAAATTTAACGTTTGAATTTACTCCAGTTTCATCATTGGTTCGTTCTTCAACTATGTAGTAACTGCAGGAATTTATTTCATAATTTGACATGGAAATTTATTGAATATAAATTACAAAAATTACATTTTATTAATTTCAAGAATTACAATATTACTTTCAGGTTTAATAGCTAATTTTGAAATAGATTTTAAAGAAATTATTACTTTATCAACATTAAGTTCAATTAGGTTTAGGTTAAGAATTTTATCCTCAAGATTAAATGAATCAGCATTTTTTCATGCTTCATTTAAATCTATAATATTATATAAAAGATGTTCAAAATTTTATAAAGGTATATGTTTTATATTTATCCAATGAAAAAAAAAAAATAGTTATTATAATTTCTCTAATAATATTATGTGGTTTTCCTTTTTTAGTTGGA